CTCCAAAACACCCGCAACATACGGAATAACCACTGGTTTGGGTCTGGGTTTGGGGTCTTCATTTTCACCTGAAGGTGAGTATCAGTCACATGGAGGCAGGGCTTAAAAGCCTGAATTTTGCCTGAAACTCTCAGACTGAAGAAGTCTCTTGGAGAAGAGACAAAATGTTTCATAAGAGAAGAACCCGTCCAGAAGACCTATACAATTTTTTTCTTTTTGTTTTTACTACATGAATATTTTGGATTATTTCAGACATTCTTCTTAAAAACAATAAATTTAATATCAATGTGTTGAATTTGAACTTAAGATTTTTACGATTTTATCTTGACATTTCCATGAGAATGTTCTTGAATAGACAATCTGATTTAGTGATTTGTCCTTGCTTGTTGTTTTCTAAATGCGTCATCCAGGATTAACTCAATTTATCAGCTCTGAGACAGTCCCTTCATACTACACTTTACTTAAAGTCCAACTCTGATGTTTAATAGCTAAATTTTATGCCCAGCTGTGAGACATTTATTTTACACTTACAACCATTTTTCACAGTATTAAGAGTGTTTCTGAGAGGTTTGAAAAATATGGGCGCAGGTCTTTGTTTTAAATTTTGACATGCAAGTGAAATGTTCATAACCTTACCACTGAACCCCACTTTTAAATTGTTGGTTATCCCTTTATTAGTGCCCTTCCAGTTGTTCCTTTTCATGTACTGTTCCGCATGGTGCATCATTTTTTGCCTTAGTCATAGATTTCTATGTCCCTACTTTAAGAATGTCCCATACAGAAAACAACAACTTTGGGGTGATTTGGTTTGTATTTGGGGAGACCTCAGTGAGGTTATAATTCACCGTAAATTTAAGTAGGGAATTTTCCTGATTTATGGCAGACTAGTGGCATATATGGCTCTCAAATAAAATAAAGACGTCTAATAATGCAAGTAACCCTGATGAAGGTTTGAGATTTTGTGAACTTTGTCACACTGGTGTATTGCCAGTGGTGGTTCAAATGTTCAAAGGCTGTAGATGCCCTCTGGAATGACCTATTACTCTATACAAGGCACTATTTGCCTATGATACCATCAATCCTGATGTCTCAAGGAGTGCTATCACAGCACTGAAAATACATCTTAGCGACAATCCAATCAGATTTCGGCAGTTCAAATGCAGCATGCTGCGCGCTTAAAGCATTTGCTAAGCTAAGTACATTGGGAACACTGTTCTACTATTGTTTTATAAATTCTACAGTATTTCATTTGAAATTTTGATATTGTTGTGAACTTAAAGGATAACTGTATGGACAATTTAAAGTATTACTATGGATCTGAGTAAGTGAGCTGGGTGAACTGAGTTAACCTAAAATTTTGAGTTTAACTCTAGGATTAAACATCAGGAGGCTGCTAACGACATAACACCACAAGGCCAGTGTTAATCAGCTAAATACAGCTGAGTTCTGCTCCACACCTCATATGGTTGTGTGAAACACATTTCATTTCTGAAAACTTGCATCTGTTTGGGATGTGGCCAGTGTAGTCTGTGATTTATGAACAGCTTGAGAGGGCATAAAAACAAACTGGTAAAGTATACAGTATGCTGCCATTTCAGGGAAATATTTCATGAAAGAGACCAAAATACCTGGGACAATCTGAAGAAGTCCCAAGCGTCAGCAGGTAAAATGGGAGAGACAGTGCATGTAAGTGTTGACCAGGTTCTTCACTAGTCTGAGCTTTATGAGAGAGTGGCAACTAGAAAGCCCCTGTTGAAGTAAAGTCATGTCCATTTTTGACTAGAGTTTCCCAGATGGCATATGGAAAACTCCAGGGTCAAAAGTGCTTCTCTGCAGCCAGCTCTACTCAAGATTTAATGAGTTTTCTTCAACCATTTTGTACTTTTCCATAATCTATCCTTTTGTTTGAATTAGGACAGACACTTTAAGGTGGTGAATGCAGTGGTCAGTGCTGCTTTTCCTGTAATCCTGAGGTTTCAGGTTCAAGCATCAGGAAGGATATGTGGCTCAAAATTGTTAGCATGATTAACTCTATAACTTACAATGTTTCCAAATATCTGGCATCAGTACTTGGTCCTGTAGCTGGCAGTTCAGAACATACGGAACTCCATGGACTTTGTGGACAAGGTGAGGGATATCATCATGGAGACGGACACTAGTGGAACAAACCAAAGCCGGGCCGGGGGTGGGGCAAAAGACCGGGTCCTTTATTCCAAACTAGATACCGCATAGCGGTAACATAATGACNAATTAGGATGCAAATAGGATTAAATAGGTTCCTATTTAATTTTAGGCTAAAATTTTAGTTTAATTCTTATTCACCTTATTATGCACATGAAAATTTTCAGCTTGACAATGTGTATTTATGCGAGATGTATGTATGTTTGATTATTGGTCGATTCTAAAGAATCGAAGGGGGGATATGTGGTATATTTATGTCCTACCCCTTTAAGAAACGTGGACGAGCATCAGACCGTGAACGTGTTCAACCGGAACGCGCATGGGGGCGGACACGAGCTTTCTTTGTTCAGTTTCTCCGTAACATCACGCTGTTAAGACCTATTTCAGTTGTCTCGCTTAATAAACATATGTACAAGCTGAAGAAATCGCCTTTTTTCATTTCTTTATCAGTCTAAGAGTTTTTTAACCGTCAACAAGTCAACAGAAGGACGTTCGCTGGTTTTCCATCGAATCAGCCGGATTCGGCCACCATCTGACGGAGACGAGACGACGGTCCACATCGCTGAAGGGCCCAGGAGAACCGGACAAGAACCAACAGGGGCATTGGTTGACCTGATGGATAGCCCCTCATCTGAGCTAAAAAAACAAAAGAAATCTGAAGCTCCTATGTTAATAGTTTTTGAGCTGTAACCATACCCCTTTTTCAGATAAATTGGGTGTCGGGGGTGGGGGGGGGGCACTGATTGCCTGATAGAGCTTCATCAGAGCTAAACAACAAAAGAAATCTGAAGGTTCTAAGTTGAACAGTTTCTGAGTTATAAGCATTTTTGCATGTCCTGACACCCCCTCTTTGAAAGGACCCCCCTCCTCAAATATGGGGTCTATCATAAAACCGTTGGCTGGTGCAGTGTAGGCCAGACTCTTCAACAGTCTTGCCAAATTTCATGTTGATCGGTGCAGCTGTTTTTGTGCTATGGTTGACCAAAAATCGCACAATAAAATAACTAGATGCCGCATAGCAGTAACATAATGACCCAACCCATTCTCACTCCCAAGTCGTCACATATTGACGCTTTTCCAAGGTTCCCTCTACGTCCGATTTTGACGCGCCGGGTACCCCCGTCACGTCAGTTACTGACGAGATGGGGCGAAATCTGTTGTCATATTTTCAGAAAGTGTAGAAAAAGCGCAAAAAATACCGTTTCGAAGCCTGAAATTACCTTCGTTCACTTTAGACATCCTGTCCCTGACCCTAGTACCTAAAATTAACCATTTTTAGAAAATGTAGGAAATTCACGT